TAAGTGCAGCTCTGCAGAGTGAACTGCCAGGGACTACAGTGGCTCTTCCAGCAGTAGCCCCCTTCCTCACCCATGGCAGAGGCTCCCTCCTTCAAGGCACAGCTGCTGCCACCCCTGTGCAAAGCTGAGCTTTAGCACTGGTGCTGCACTGAAAGCTGTGCTCCATCCAGAAACTCACTGGTCCTGTACCTCCCACACGGATGCTCAGCACAGGGAAGGTCCAGGCTGTGTGTTTGTTTCTGGCAAAACAGAGCTGGGAATACACCTGCACAATCTAAACATTCCAGGGGCAAACACACTTCAAAAGAAAACTCTCATCTCCAAACCTGAAAGAATCTCAAGTTTTTATGTGATGCACAAGGTGAATCTGCCCTGGTCTTACTCTAGGAAAAGGCTGGGGGAAATAATTGATGGATGAACCTTAGAGAAAGTGGAATAAAGTAGAGAAAGTGGAGTAAACCCCTCCTGGGTTTTCTTTCCTGTAAGATTCCCATGGTGTTTTCCAGCATTAGAGTTGCTGCTGCTTTGCTTCTAGCTACAACAACTGATCCCAGTTTTTATAACCCTTAGCATGGAGCAGAGCAGCTCCTGGATGCGTTTCCTAGCTCCAGTAGCCAACAGGGATTACAGAGTTTAGGCACACGTTGTAATTACTTTTTGCTTCTTGCATCTTTAACCTGGTGGAGCTCAGCATGAATCACCAGGAGGTGACAAGGAAGGAAAAAGCAGGAAAACACAGGCTTGAGCACATTCTTCTGATCAACCCATGGAGCACCCAGCCTCACTCTCCACTCTGCCAGGAGAAGGAGAAATACCACATTTCCTACTACAGATATGAAATGAAGGAGAGGCACTGGTGATCCTCAGGACTGTCATCCCTGGCATAACTTTTTCTTGGAATTAAAACTGCTCACTGACCCCAAACACACTTTCTTTTCATTCTACAGCTCTCAACATTTTGAGCTATCGATATGTTTGGCTCCTTTGACAGCTTCATGCTGAAAGAAACACACCATTGCTTTAAAAGAACACACAAAATTTCAGACTGAAGAAATGCTTTGATCCCACACCAGCAGGCAAGAGCTGTATTTCACAGAACTGACAGTAAGAGTGCCCTGGCATTTCTGCTTTATGGCCAAACAGGCAGCAGTGCAAAGCCAAGGCTAGCAGGAGGCACAAAGGAGCAGCACGTACCCACAGACAGTGCCTTCAACCCCCAGTTCTGAGGCAGGGGCCACAGCTGGGCAGCACAAGTGCATCCCTGTGATGCTCAACAGCCTGTCAGTGCAACATCACAGCAGCAGATGCTCCGCTGTCACGTCCCTCTCATCCTCAGCAGCCCCAAAGCAGAGATTTGCATCCCATTTTCTGCCTTTGGGCTCCCAACACACACCATCCACCAGCCCTTTCCACCATCAGCAGGCTGCACTAAGGAAATCCAAGGCTGAGCAGCATGCTTACAGTGTTTTCACAAAAAGCTGTTGCACGCTTTCCAAAGATAAAGACCCTCCCATAAAAATCAACCCATTCTCAGAAGGGAGCTTAATTCTTCTGTGCTTTTGACACTTGAGTTGTGCCTCATGAATAAAGCTTGAGCAAGGGGTGCAGCTGCCAGAACAGTTGCAAGTACACACTGAAATCCATGCTAACCATACAGCTGATACTTTAGAAGTATCTATAAGCTGATTTAATTAAATATGGAACAACTGCAGGAAACTGCTTATGACTAATGAAAGCTCCAGGTGTAGCTGGTCAGGGGATCTAGCACAGTGAGTGTTTTCAGTTGCAAAATTGCTCAATTCAAAATTGTTTCTTCCTGCCAAGTTGGCAATTCCCATTCAATTACATGCAGATACAGTGGCAAACCTTTTACTACAGTACAATGTTATTTTATCTACCAAATGATAGTGCTTATTGCACATATCTGACAGCACTTAATAAAAATCTAAATATATGTTAAACACCTGGTTTAAAGGATTATGTTTCTTTTCCCACAGATACAAATTACCAAATCCTCACACTACTTATGTCTAACTCAGTAAAGTAAAATAGGGACCTCCATTTCAGTCTTTGACACAGGACTGAGACAAAACAAGATAAATAAAAGCACTGTAGCCTCATATGGCAACTTTCAGACATAGGTTTGAAAAGCACTGTCTTCTGCCAGGAGTCCAAAATCTGGTTTGCATAACTATTTAGTATAAAGGCTCACATAAGGGTAGTTAACAGGGCAAGGGAAAAAAGTACAAAAACCATGATCAAGTACCACATTACAGATGAACATTTAGCAGCATTTCAAAAACATACCCCTCAAAATGCATTAAAATTCACCATTCCACTAACAGACCAAAGACACAATTAATACTATTAATTGGAAATTAATACTATTTTTGGTTAAAATGCAAGACTGAGAATTCTTTGAAAAATCCTTGGAGGGCCCCTCAGATGCACTTAACCCAAGACATGTGGATATAATGGAACCACTGTATTCACACCAGCCAGCTTCACCAGCTGTTGCAAAACAATTTGACATACACAAACTATGGGAAACTCAGAATGAGAAGGATACTAACTTTGCTTGGATATTACATAAATTGCATTCTAATGTGCAAACAACGCAACAGGAAAAAAATCTTTCTTTGCATAGATGATACACAATTCCGTTTCTCAGAGATTCTCCTTGTGAACCGAGTCAGAAATCACGACTGGTAACATAGGCAAGGCTGGTAACTTCACTGACCAATTTAACACAGGTGGCAAGTTTTTAAGGCAGAAGGCTGCACAAAGACAATTTCCCTATCACTTTTCCACCAAGCACACGCTGCAGTTGATAGATGAATACTTAAGTGTGCGGTTTTGTATTCTGACAAAGTAACTTTAAGGATGGCGGCCCCTTCCCGGTGAGCAGGCTAAGCAAAACCACAAGTACCATAAAGTCATCTTGAAGAAGCCTTGCCAAATCACCTCTACATAAAGTGTTGTTAAGTGCTGCCACTTGCTTTGAGCATTGTTGCCCTTTATTTTTTTAATATCAAAGTCAGACATTGTGGCACAGCCCAGTGTGATCCATACCAGTCATTTAGACAATGAGGAGAAAATAGGTGCACTCAGCATGTGTTTTAAAGCATGTTTTCCATTCAGAACCCCAGTGCTCCATCTTTAGGTCTCTGATCAAAACTGTATGCAAAAGGCATGATTCATAACTGCCAGCATCAAAACACTCACATTCAGTGTCTGCCTGTGGCCAGCACGGAAACAATGAGCTCTCGACCCGAACCCAGCACCCGTTCCAGCGCATCCAGGGCAAGCTGGACACTGTGCCAGGACATTGGTAGGACAATTGCCTAGAGTACATGTTCCAACACAGCCCTGAGCCCACAGCAGAGGATCATTTCCTAGAAAGTCTGGGGAGCTGGAAGCGGGGCTGAAGCTCCAGGTGCAGCCTGCCCTCTCCCGGCCCCCTGCCTGCCCAGGTAACAGCGTCTGCCAACCTTGGCAACCTACAGTGGAGAGATCAGGAAGGAAAAGCTGGACAAGACTGAGATGAAAGCATAAATGACTTGATTGATTAATGGACAGGAAAAGAGGCAGAGGGCAAGGTGATAGAGGAAAAATAGTGAAGCTTAAATAGCTACATTTATGAACACAGCAAATACCAAGATAAGATTATGTGTAGAAACAAAAACTGAATTCAGTAAACTAGAATTTTTAACTTTCACATCTAGAAAGCAGAGCAGGATCAGCACTCAGTGGATGGGTACGTACTACAAGCTGTCCCAAACGTCAGGGATGGAGTACTCGTGTGCTGGGAGCTCAGCTCTTTGCAGCCTTTTCAGACCAAACCACTCACTGCAATTTACAATGGTAAATCACCTCTGTGCCCCAAGTTCCTGCTTTCTCTCTCAAGGATGTAAACAAAAATAGAGAAACCGACAAAACTAAACATGCACTTCCAGAGGCATCACGTACTTAATGTAAGCCTACTGCTGAAAGAATAAAATGAAAACCGAAGGAAGCTTCTCCTGAGCTGGAGAATAATGGTACTGGTGTTACATCTCTGAGGTTTGCAAGAACATTGCTAATTTGCTTTTTCACATGCCTAATAGAAAATTTAAAAATAGAAAATTCAAAAATAGAAAATTCAAAAATAGAAAACTCAACTGGCAATAGAGCCAGATTTGCAACCCCCTCTGGTTTCAGGCCTGAGACATTTGAATGAAAACCGGAGAGTTTGCAAAAGAATGAGATAAAAGACAAGGTCCTCATCCTGTGTGGGCACAGTTTCGGTGTCCCTGAGTTGCCAGCGGTTAATAAAATGATTGCATTACATTTCACTGCCCGTCACCTCCCGGGCCTGTTAGAGCTCTGCCATAAAGAATAGCCCCTGTGCGCTTTTCCGTGTGGAAAAAGCAAAGTAGCGCTGAAATAAACCCCCAGGACGGTGTGGGGCAGGCGGCTCTCCCGCGAACTTCGGGGATGCTGGGATGCCCGCGGCAGGCAGCGCGGGCAATGGGACGAGAGATGCCGCTCCCGGGGAAGGGAGAGGATCCCACGGATGCATTTTCCGCCTCTGCCCCGCGGCCCCCCGGGCGCTGCCCCGGGCCAGGGCAGGACCGGCCCCGCACCGCGGCACCTGCGGGAGGCGCCCACGCGGGAGCGGGAACGCGAGCCCCGGGGCGGCTGCCCCGAGTTGCCCGCGCCGCAGCCCCGGCAGAAGTGCCGCCAGACGCCGAGAGACACCGCCGCTCCCGCTCCCCGCCTACCAGCGCCTTGCCGTGCGGGGCGGCGGGTCCGCGCCGCTGCGGCTGCCCGCGCTGCTCTCCGCCGCGGTCTCGCTTCTCGCGGCCGCCGCGCTGCTCCTCGCCGGCGTCGAGGGAGGAGAAATTCCAGACGAGGAGGGTCTGCAGGAGCAGCACGGTGAGCGCCGCCACCAGCGCCGAGCGGGAGCGCCGCGCCAGCCGCCGGGCGCACGGAGCCGCCACCATCTTCGCTGCTGCTGCCGCCGCCACGCTCCCGAGAGCCGCCGCATCCGCCGCGGCACCGAGTTTTCAGCCGGGCAGAGCCAGACGTCAGCAGGAGGAGGGCGGAGGTGGGGAAGGAGGGAGGGGGGAAGGAGGAGGAGGTGTTCGCGGCGCGTGGGGATGGGGGAAGCCGGCGGGGAGCCCTGGCGGCGCGGCAGCCCGCGGCCGGGCCGGCCCGGGGCCAGGGGTGGGGTTGGCGGAGGAAGAGGAAGGAGGAGGAGGGTGGGCTGGAGGCGGAGGAGGAGCGGTGCGGGGGCTCGGCGGGCCCGGCGCTGCGTGAGGGGAAGGGGCCGGGGCGGGGCGGTGGCGGCTCCCGGCGGGCGGGAGGGAGGGAGGGGGCGGCCGGCGGCGGGCGGGCGGTGACTGCCATCTTCTGAGGGAGCGCGGCCTCACCGCGCCGGGCCGCGGCACCTGGCGGGCGGCAGCCCCCGCCTGCGCACCGCTCACCGGCTGAAAGGGCCCCGATTTCCCCAGGCTAAGGTGATGTTTAGGTTTTTTTTTGTTTTTCTTTTCTGAATCAGAAGGGTCCCTGGCATCATCTCACCTCAGCGGATTGAGAGCGAGAGCAAGGTGCAGCACCTCCGCAGCCCGGTGAGGTCCGCACGGACCTGGCTCAAGGCGGCTGTAGCTGAATGCCCAGTGTCTCAGAAAGTGAACATAACGGACGGGTTCAGCTGCCTTTTCCTCCCGTACTGATATTGGCTTTCTAATCTGAGAGATCTCATTATCTGATGATGGGACTGAAGTAGGGAGGTTTTTTTAATCTGCCTGCACGGTGCTTCTTTTTCTAAGCCTAATTCCACTTTACAAACCAAATCCAAAAGTAAAAAATATTATCTCCTGGTAAGAACAGTTGCTTTTTAAAATGACAGCCAGGTAGGATTTGCACAAACCAGCGGGATTTTGTTTCCATTGGAAGTGCTTTAGTTTCTGATCTGAAGAAAATGAAGCAACTAATAAGATTCAGGAGCATCCTTTATTAAGAGAATTTTCCTAATGATCCAGTGAGGCTACAAATAAAGTTTTACAGGCGGTATCTTTCCTTGCAACATTTCACAAGCAGATGAAGCACGTGTCAGTTTCAAGGAGTGCCACTCCCTGAGTATCACTGACTGCAAAGCATCTCTAAAACAGAGAGGTCAAAATACATCATTAGCAACTTCCAGGAAAGTCAGCCCTGAAAGACTCCTCCTGTGTGACAGCAGAGCATCGTCTGGCTGACCTTCCATTCATGCACTGGAACCGTGTCCCATTTTTGCCAGCTGGGGTGATGGCAGAGAGCCCATGATAACAAATTTTGACAGTGTCAGGCTTCCACACTAGTTGCACATACATCAGATTTGCTGGTCCCACAGTACAGTGAAGTGAGCTGTTAGAACAAAAAATGAGAAAGGCTCAAAGTGTTCCTGAATATTCTGACAGGTTCTGCACAACTTGGGAAGATTATGGATAATTTTGATTCCGAACTATCAAATAATTGGGCATTATAAACACAGTCAAGCAAATTTGCTGACAAATATAAGGTAAAAGCATCTTCCATTTGGGATTAAGTGATTTTGTCTTCAAAAAGAAGTTATGGTCCTAGTAAATGATTGCTCCCTGAAGCCTTCTCTTGGGCTTGTAGATGGCAGGAGGTGCTCATGGTGCCAGAAAAGAAACAGACTCTGAACAGGCCAAATGACCAAACATTCCTAAGAGCCTCAGGACCTGATTCCAATCCTGCACACCTCATAGAGAAATGAGAGACTCATCCCCATGGATACCCTAAAATGGCTAAAAGCCCTAACAGCAACATTCAAGGCAGGCAATACCTCAGCACAGGGCAACACTGCTTTCTATAAAAGGAGCACAGCAGTAGTTGTGATGAACTTGTGATCCATAGTTCTTAAAATTTTTATGACCTATTGGAAAATTTCCTCCAGATTTTATGGGGTAACATATATGCTGGAAAATGTCTCAGGGTGTTCCTAATCTCTGTATACAATTACTGTGACTGATAGGGCAGTGAGGAACAGCAGTGCATGCTCAGTCTCACACATGTCCTACTGAAAGCCCTTCTGGAGAGAAGATTTGTATCCAAACCACAATAATTTATAGGCCATAAAGATCTGAGTCTTCAGTGTAAAATCAGCCCTGTGTATGGGTGGGAGCCCCAGCATGAGACACTTCTGCACTGACAGAAAAAGCAGAGCTGAGAGAGGAACAGACTCCTCCTTCAACATCCTCCTTTCCCCATATTTAGAGACATGTAAAATCTGGAAAGGACATTGCAGTAGGTATGGCATTCATTTTTGAAACTGTGGTATAACCAGTGGCCACTAACTGTTCAAAACATCCTTCTTCTGAGCTAAAGAAAACAGCCAAATAGAAGGAAGAGAATATAACTAATAACTTACTTTTTTCTTGTATTGATTCAAACTAAAAAGGGGAAATGGCAAGGTTGAGCATCTTGAGAATATGAAGATGGAAAAAAAAAATCACAGAAACTGAAGAAATGAACTGTACCAATCCAAAGAACAAAATAAACTCAGAAATTGCATAAAAGTGTTAAATTAATTTTCTTATTATAACATTTATGAATAATGGCAGATTGACTGAACTGTGTTGCATCAGAAAATATTTAATCAGGCTACACAGAAGACACTTGAGAGAGTTACCACTGAAAATTCCCCATGTTAGGTGAGAATTAGTATCTAGCACAAAGTTTATAAGAGAAAAACCAGATTTGACTCTTATATAAGTATTATGTTGGTTGCACATAACTGTCAAAGAGATGGTGTTTTAAGCACAGGTAGCAACTGGGACTGGGCTAATTTGCTCTAAAATCCCAAGACAATTGATTTAAATATTTTTTTGCCACTGCACAGGTATGTAAATTCAGCGTGGGCCTGTTTGAGAAGTAGAGGGTATCAATCTTGCCTACTTAAAATGATGTAATAAAGGAACCATACTCAGTTCCATTTTAGTCTGATCTACTTTGCTAGATTTGCCTATCCTGCTATAAAAAAAATTGTTTCCTCCTCCTAACAGTGTAAATACAGTCTAAAATTGCATCAAGTAACCAGACTTTGTACAAAGAAATAAGTGAAGTTGGGAGCAGTGTTAATAAGGAATATCCTTTGCTCTACTTTGCAGAGCTTATGGTCCATCTGGTGAACAAACACTGCAGGCTTATCTGAACTCCAACTCACAGCCTGACTCATCGGCGGCGCCGAAGCACATTCTGTAATCACTGGAAGACTAAGTTATTTCAGAGTGAAGATTAGCATTTTTCTTAAAAACAGTCAAGTCCTTATCACACCAAAATTTAGATTTTGGATTTGTGTTATGAGATGAAGGGGAAAAAGGTGAATGAACTGATTTGTCCAAGAATGGGTATGTCTAAAATACTCAGTCTTAGAATCTGTGAAGAATACAGAACAAATAGCAAATTTGTGTATATTCCTGTGATAGCAAAAAAAAAAATCACAGCACCTAAGGAATGTGCCTTAGGAATAGAAAAGGTTGGAAATAGGCCATGAGAGTGTTTAATGAGTAATCTGCAGTAGCAATGTCATCTGAAGACTGGGTTTCTTTCCTGAAGTGACAAAGTCTTACTTTTTTTTCCTTCCATCACTACCAGAACAACACAAGACTTCTAATCCCTTTAGTGCATATGGAGAACATAGACCTTTTCCCTGGGAGTCTGTTGGTCTTACTAGTCTAAGCATGAAATCTGAAAGAACAAAACAGGGTAAGGAATTACTCCCTGAGAATTTCACCATCTCACACTACAGGTCACTGCCTGCTCTGCAACAAGTTCCCAAAACATTGCTTTTAGTTTTTAAACACTGGTATATTGCTAGACTTAAAAGGTAGAGGAAGTGTATTTTGATTTTTTTGGAACCACAGAACCACCATTAACTTCATGTTCTGCAATTCAGTCACTCTATGGTTTACATGTGTGTTCTTCACCACTCAGGTATCCTGTACCATGGATGTGCACTCTTTCCTATTTTCTTTTCATAAACAAAACCAAGATTCTTTGCCAGGTACTCATTTTATATCAGGCTACCCTCCAACTGGGTTATAAAATTCAGGTTCTCTCTTATGTGTATGGACAGAACTAAAGTCAAAGGAGATGTGATCACTGCATGCAAGAAATGCCTTCCATTCTGAAACCTTGAGATTCCAGCAAACATTTCTTAATCCACTCCGGTTTCATTTTGCCACATCACAAATGCAAACTCTAGTCTGGTGTCAATGAATATGCAAAAGCCAAATTTTTGACACCAGCGTTTCACTCTGGTAACACTGTCTATAAATTATCAACTGAACATATTATGTCAGGATTCAAAGACAACAAAAGCAGGTTCTATGTTCAGTTTGTATGAAATACCTGATATGGATGTGGAATGTATATTACACCTTCCTTCTGAGAGATAAATTTAGTTCAGGACCTTGGCATATGCTCCACTTCAGGAAGTGAAGGAAAATGGAAGAATTATTCCCTTCACCATCACATTAAAGCATTCCTTTTTCTTTACAATCTCTTGCATATAAAACCTTTTACTATCAATGAGGGGAAATGGCTGTAGATGCATTTTATATACAGCCCTCCATGTTGTGACAGTTTTTTCTTTCAGCCAGTGGTCGAGGATAATCACGGAAGGATTACCCATCTGTTCTTGCCATGTGGCATTCTGTCTCAGTGAGGAGATACTGCAGTTCACAGCTTCCTGCAGTTCTTTTTTTTTTTTTTTTTCTGATGTTCTCTCATTAACTAAAAATTGTTTTATTATCCATCTGAGTTGCTAAGTTGGAAAGTCTGGAAGACTCATGAAGGTGACCTACTTTGGATTATCTAAATTAGAACTAACCACTGCCTGTTGCAAACATAACTTTGTTTAGATGCAGAAGGTTTCTTTGGCTTGGGCTTCCATCCTTGGTTTTGCTTTCTTTTTCTGTCCACTTAATGGAAAAAGACAAGTGGTACACAAAGGAAGGTAACCAGAGGAGAAGAGATGGAATAAACAGACTTTTTCACTGAGTGACTTTGTAGGTTGTGTTTACATGAATAGCCAGTTTTTCAGAACACCCAACAGTTTTTAGACTACATTTACTATGATGACATACCCGTGCAAAGTATATGTAGGGATTTATCCCAGTAATCACCAGGAACATGTTCTATATGTCTAAACTTCTACTGAGATATCACTATCACTTGCTGGTGGAAGACTAACTAGAAAGGAAACAAGGTTTTAAAGAAGATTTCAATAGTCTTTCATTTTTCCTAACACTGGAAAATACAGTATTTTAAAGACAAAGTTTTATTCTTAACCTCCTGATATGATACAAATTCATCTGTAAGAAAGCTTGCTCTGAAAACATATCTGATTAAATAGTGTGACTGTTCTTCATAAACAGAGCCATTTTGTGGTAATTGATTTAATACAAGCTTTTCTGTCAGGAAACATTGTTTATGATGGTATGTCAAAGCCAGCATTGGCAGCCTCAACAAATCATTTGCTACCACTGATGCACTCGTGTCCCTTGTACACACTGGGCAGTCCCACAGAGCAAAATGTGTCAGGTGGGGCTGGGACTCTTTACCAGTGTGTGACCGGGACATTTGCCTGAGCTTCTGCTTAAAGTCTCCAAACCCTTGGACAAAGCTTCCCAGGGCAGGGAGTGGGGAAAGTGCATTTCTGCCATTTTCCCTGGGAGAGGGGAACTGAACAGGTAGCCTGATTTCCTGCTGCAGTTTCTAACAGCTGAGCTGGCAAAAGAGTGTTTCAGCTTCCCTCTGACACTGGTCTGCCAACACCATGGGCTATGTGGGATATTAGAGAGCAAAGACAATTATACAAATTTAAGCAAACAAACTTGATAACTATCATTAATCTTTCTGTATTTAGAAAGTCATTAGCAAAAGCAGGTGCAAAAACCTGTTTGGCTGTAATTTGGATGCTACAAGAAAAGGAAGTTTTCAGACAAGGTATTTGATGTGCCTTAAAAGAAATACAGGTTGTTTTTTTTAAAGTAAGGCATTAGTCCATGTATGGCAAAGATGACTGTGTCATATATTTCATCTTCTGAGCTGGAAGGGACCCACAAGGATCATCAAGTCCACTCTTAAGTGAATGGCCCATACAGAGATCCAGCCCACAACCTTGGCACTATCAGCACTATGCTCTAGCCAACTGAGCTAATCCAGTGTTGATCTGTATGGTTTGGGCTTCATAATGATTTCTGCTTTGATGAGCTTGAGGGCTGGGAGGAAAAAGAGCTGGTAAACCTATCTGTCCACATCAGCAACCTCACACAAAACACACCAGCTCCCTGCAATTAGCAGAGCCATGCTGCTGACCGTGCCTGAGCAGAGCAGAGGCTGCTGTGCAGTGCTGGCTTGCACACACCTGTAATCAGTGGTTTGTGTGCTGGTGTGTCAGCCTGCAGCTGCACAAAGCAGCTGTGCATGGACATGGCCCACTTACAGCACAGTACAGCACATACTGCTGGAACCACTTTTAAGGAGGGCACGGTTTGGTGCCCACCATTGCAGCTCCATCAGTTTTTAAATTTATACTCATCCCTCAATAGAAGCACTGTGGATGTGCTGACTCTTCAGTGGGGGCTGCTGGAGGCAGAGGCTGGTTTGCTCTCTGGTCTCACTGAAGGAGATACTAAATTTTGCTCTTTCTATTGCATTCAGGTCTGCCTTTTAAGATGGAGATACTTACATGACTGCAGTTCTGCCTATGGAATAGTACAGTTCTTGCCATGACAACTCAGTGCTGAAATTACTGGTTCCTTCCACCTGTTTCACTATTAAGTTGTGGGTATGACACACGTCTGACAACTCACCTGGAGAACATTCTGCTCCAAAAGGCCAGGAAGTGTTTGCCACTGTTGTGGTGGTGAGGTGATGTGCAGGAGACACCTGCTTGTGTAGTTCACATGCTGCATTGCAGAATTGTTCAAATACCTAAATGCCTCTATGCACAAAACCCAGGATATACAGGTATAGGCCTTTTGAATAGACAAGTAGATGCCATGGATTAAAGTGTAGCTCACAGAATACAGATTAGGGATTGGAATTTAAATTGCAATAATTTGTCCCAGGACTGATCCTAAAAGGTGTTACATTTCTTGTACAGTCAGAGAAAATAAAGAAAAGAAATATTATTCAGTGAAGGGGAAAATAAGCAGACCCTAAGTGATTACACCGTGCTTTTAAAACAATTCAAGTATTCTCCAAATTACAGTATAAGATAAATTCTTCAGGAAGTCCACAGAACAAGTTATTTGTATATAGTGTGCAAGTCACCCTGAAGATAAAACAAAATGTTATGATGAATTTTAATCCAACTTCTGAATTGTAGTAAATTTTGACAACACACTTGCACACTTGCACAATCCACTTCAACACAATCTGCATTTTCAACAAGGTGGCTCGTGTGACATGTGGCTCTTTTGCCCTGGGATGGCTTCCAGTATTGCAATTTGATGTAATAGTGGTGCATGCCTTTCTTGATTAGTGAAAGTTTTGCATTAGATCTTTCTTTTGCTGAAAAGTATTACAATAAAATATTTTATATCTCTCATGATGTAAATAAGCACCTGAAATTCCACATGTAAATTCAAGCTATTAGGTCTCAACCCAAGAAAGCACTTAATGACATTTATGGTCTCATTGAATTTGGGGACATATGCAAGGGCTTCATTCAAAACATGTACTTAGGAGCTTTGCTGAGTTAAGGCCTTACAAAATGATGCTATACAGATCAGCTACTATTCATAAAATATAATTTAGTGAATAAGGTAATTTGCTTGTTAGCCAAAAAAGAGGCTCTAGATTCCTTCTCAAAAAGTTATATACAGGCAGATGTCACATTGCTCTTACCTTCTTAACTTTGATCCTCCAGATTTACACAACTGTTGATGAGACTATAGCTGATCCTATACAATACTGAAACTTCTCAGATGGCCACATTCTTGCCTGGAAACTGAACCAACAAATTTTGTAGCTCATTCTGCTAGATGAGCTCCACTGGAACAGATTCTTACCTCAGACTTAGATTTACCTGAGGACATATGAAAAAAGCAAAGAGGATCTGTATAATTTAGCTTTAAGCCCCATGTAGTGAAGAAAAAGGCATATTATGCATTTCATGCATTATTCTCTACTTTGTGCTGTATATAATTGGCAGAGCTTTTCAGTGAAAAAACTATCTGGCCAAATTCTCAGAGCCTCATGCTCTGCAAAAAATCTGTCTTAAGTTAATCTATTTTAGGAGTAATATTCAAGTTGCCTGCACTCATATGAAAAATGTATTTAAAAAGGTCTAGAAGATACAATCTGCTATTTCTTGCCTGACTTTGTTCCCTGCTGTTGTTGGTCTTTCACGGGATTTCTTGCAGAGTGGTTAAGTGATCTATGCTGAGGTTTCAAAAGCAAAGATAATAGGAGTTCTATTCATGGG